TAAGACGTGTACAAGTCAATACTTTGGTAAACATATCTGCAAACTGATCTTCAGATATCATAAATGGAGCTGTAATCTCCCTAGCTACTATCTTGTCCCGAATAAAGTAACAATCAACCTTAATATGTTTTGTTCTCTCGTGAGACACCGGATTGGCAGTGATATGGATAGCTGCCTAGTTGTCATAGAACAACTGTAAAGGAAGCTAAACTAGAAGTCCAATTTACTAAAGGAAGTGTAGTAGCCAAGTTAACTCACTCGTCGTATGCGTCATTGCCCTATACTCAGCCTCAGCACTGGATCTTGCTATCACAGATTGTTTCTTACTTTTCGAAGAGACAACGTTACCTCCTAAGAAAGTACAATAACCAGTAATTGATTTTCGATCAGAAGGAGAGCCAACCCAATCAACACCTAAGAAACCTTCCACTCTAAAATGTCTATTAGCTCGATATAACAACCCAAGTCTAGGAGCACGTTTGAGATATCGCAGAATACGAGTAACTACCTCCTAATGTGGTACTCTAGAACACCCCATGACTGCATAGGAAATATCCGGTTGAGTAATAGTGAGATAATTGAGCTTCCTAACCAATCTACGATACCTACCCAGATTCTCAAACAGTACACAATCATCCATCAAAAGTTTCTGATTCGGATTCATAGGAACATCAATAGGTCTATCACCCAACAAACCTGCTTCCTCTAACCTGTCAAGTGCATATTTCCCCTGGAATAAATAAATACCCTATTTAGATTGAGTGACCACCTCAATACTCAAGAAATACTTAAATTTTTTCAAATTCTTAGTATGAAATTGATCCCGTAAGAATATTTTTAACTTGACAATCCCCTTAGAATCATTTCTAGTAATCACAATATCATCTACATAGACCACCAATATAACATATTCAACATCTGTTTGTCTATGAAATATAGAATGATCTGTCTAACATCGAAGAAGACCAAACTCTAAAACTACATCTGAAAACTTATCAAACCATGTCCTTGGTGACTATTTCAAATCATACACAGATTTTTTTAACCGACACACACTCTTACCATATTCCCCCTAAGCAGTAAACTCAGGTGGCTGCTCTATGTAAATCTCTTCAATCAAATCACCATGTAGGAAGGCATTTTTTATGTTTACCTGAAACAAGGGCCAATCAAGATTAGCAGCCAAAAAAATCAAGATATGAACCGAGAAAATTTTGGCAACAAGAGAGAAAGTATCTTCATAATCAGCATCATAAGCTTGAGTAAAGCCCTTTGCAATAAGCCGGGCTTTAAGACGCTCCACAGAATCATCTGGATAAAATTTAACAATATACACCCAACGACAACTAGCAGTTCATTTACCATGAGGTAAATGAACAAGATCTCAAGTCCTATTATGATGTAAGACATCCATCTCCTCCTCCATAACTTTCCTTCAACCCGGATCAGATAATGCATCCTGTAAATGCTTAGGAATAGATATAGTAGATAATTGAGAAGTAAAACAAGAAAAGACAGGAGACAAGACATCATATGAAACAAAATGAGCAATGACATGATTAGTAAGACACGAACGAGTACTTTTTCGAAAAGTAATAGGTAAAGAGTCTAAATTATATGATGTACCAAGATTATAAGGCAGCAACAAAGATGATACGGGCACCTTAGTCGATAGGCGAGGACGGCGAGAGTAGACAAGAAGAGGTAAAGCAGATGGTAACATAATAGGCAGCGAAATAACTAAAGATGAGGAAAGAGATGGTGGTACAAGAGACGACCCAAAGTCCAGATCCAAAAGCTGAGAAGGTGCTGAAAAATTTGGAACAGATTCCTCAAACGTGACATCAGAATTAGTAAAATATCGGCGCAGAGAAGGACTGTAGCAACGATACCCCTTTTGTGTGTTGGAGTAACCAAGAAATACATATTTGGTAGCTTAAGGGTCAAGTTTGTCAAACCCAGGACCCAAATTGTGAACATAACAGACATGTTCAAAAACCTTAGAGGTCAGAAAAAATAAGGGCTTACCAGGAAAAATGACAGAATATAAATTTTGCCCATTTAACACAGTGGATGTCATACGATTAATAAGATGACAAGTAGTAAGAACAATATCACTCCAAAAATATCGAGGAATATTCATCTGGAATAACAGGGCACGGGTGATTTCCAATAAATGACGGTTCTTGTGTTCAGCAACACCATTCTGTAGAGAGGTATAAGCATAAGAAGTCTGATGAATAATGCCAATTTTACTAAGATAAACTGAAAAAAAGATCAGATTCATATTCCTGAGTATTATTGGAATGTAAAGTACGTATACGACAACCATATTGAATTTTTATTTCCTTACGAAAGGTCTCAAATATAGAGAATAATTCAGACCGAGCTTTCATAAAAAATAACCAAATCACACAGAATAGTCATCCACAAATGTTACAAAATAAGGATATTTATTAGATAAAATATTCTTTATTGGACCTCATTCATCAGAATAGACTAACTCAAATAGACTAAACACACGATTATTGACTCTAAACTGAAATGACACACGGTGATACTTACTAAGTTGACAAGCTTGACAAGACAAAGACGACACATAACTAAGACTGAGAACTTGACGCTTCAGATTCTGGAGAGAATGATGTCCAAGAAGACAATGCCATTGAAACGGAGACAACCAGGTCTGTAGAGCCTGGGTAGGTGAATCAAAGTCAAGATAATATAAGTCACCAGCTTTATGCCCCCGTGTCAATCTTCCTCTTCGTCTTGAGATCCTAAAAGACACAGTAAGAGGGATAAAATGTTATAGAACAATTAATAGAATGAGTAATCTTTCTAATGGAAAGTAAACTAAAAGGAAACTAAGGAACAAATAACACAGAAGATAAGGACATATCAGGACTCAAGTGAGTAGTCCCCAGCACTGAAACTTTAAAACAAGTATTATTAGTAAGAGTAACACTCTGTGTGAAAGTAGCAGACTGATAAGTAAAAAAATATCAGATGCACTAGTTATGTGGTCAGAAGTGCCAGAGTCTATGATTCAGGGACTACGAGTGGAGGACAATAAACAAGTGGAAGTAGTACCTAACTGGGCAAAATTAGCAGTGGAGAGAGATGGGACAGCTTATTGCTGGGACCGGAACTGGACATACTCCTCTCGTGTAATAGTAACCAACCTAGTGTCTGGTAGAGCTGACTGAGGTATAGAAACAACAATAGAGGTGTTATCCTGATAGGAAGCCTGATTTGCAGCACTAGAGGGTTTAAATCCCAACATAAATTAACAGTGTGCCCCCCATGGCCATAGTGAGTACAGGAACGAGGTCCACTACGGCCCCCACGACCACCTGTACGACCTCCTCTACTACCATGACCACGCCGACCACCTTGATAACCATCACTATGGCTACTAGGAACCACAAGAGCTGAGCGATCAGTGAGAACACCATGATTGATTCCTGAAGTAGACAAAGTAACATGTTGTACATGAGAGAAAACCTCAAGTAATGAGGGAAGGCTAAAACCATTCAAAATTTGAGAACAAATAACCTCATACTCGGGTTTTAATCCTACCAAAAATCTAACAACATTCATGTCCTCATGTTGCTTCTATCAAACTGCTGCATCAGTAGTAAACGGATGGTAGGTCTTTATCTCCTCATAGACTCCCCGAATGTGAGAGTAATAATACTCAATGCTTAGAGTACTCTGTTCCAACCAGAAGTACTCCTTGCACACCTCATAAGCGTGGATAAAATTACCTGTACCAGAATACGTAGTGGCCAAGTGATCCCATATCTCCTTGGCAGTGTCAAGATAGAGCAAAGTAGAACTAATACTAGGCTCAATGTTATTCAATAGTAAAGAGATAATCTGAGCGTTCTCTTGTTCCCACTGATCATACCCAAGAGTAACTTCTTTGGGTTTAGAGTTAACCAAATATTTCTTAAAACCTTTGCCTCGAAGAAAAACTTGAGCAGAATGTGACCATAAAGTATAATTAGTCCTATTGAGCTTAACAAAGGTCATGAGACCATTGATAAGAAGAGGTACCATTAGCACCTTGCTTGGGTTCCATAGTAGTGCAGTAAATGACAAAAAAAGAAAGCACTAGATTACTGAACCAGACAAGAATTACCTACTGCACTACTGAACTGAAGAAGAAAAGGTTGCTGGATCACCAAACAGGGCTGGAGAACCTAACTAGAGTGCTGAACTGGACTAGAGAAGTCCACTGGAAGCTGAACCGGACCAGGAAAGACTATTGGACCGTTGAACTGGACCAGAAAAGTCCAGTGGACTGCTGAACCGGACCAGAAAAGGCTACTGGACCGCTAAACCGAAGACAAAATAGGTGGATCCTACCTAAACCAGTCTAAAACTGACTGAACTGGGCTTGAACCGGTCTAAACTGATTGAACCGGGCTTGAGCCGGTCTGGTCTGAGGCTATTGGATCAGAGTCTGGATTCGGGTTTAGATTTGGACTTTGTCGTCTTTTTCACCAAACCCTAATTGTACTTCACGTTGATGGTGATGTACAACCAACAAACACCAGTCGACGAACAACACAATGTCGACAACCAACGAACAGCAGCAACAACCAACAATCACCAAGAACAGCCGACAATCACCATCGACATAGACCACGAGCTAGAACCAGAAGCTAAAATCCACCACAAAGTAAACCACACCAGTCAACTAACATTGACTATACCAGTCGTCTGCTACCAACGTCAACTAGCACAACAAAACACAATCGCGACCCAAAATTAATACTTATATTATTTTTTGCCTCTGATACCATGTTAAATTGAGAGGATTAACATAACACAATATTAGAGAGAAAGAGAGAGGTTAAAAACTTAACCTAGATCTCATACATCACTTGTATTTATAATTAACTCACAATAATAAAAATTATACATACACCCTCTTGTATTTACACATAATACCCTAACACTATTAATAAACTATATATACTACCCTAATACTCTTAACATGTTGAAATAGATGCAGATTTGACAGAGATTACCTTTGGACCTGTTGGTACTCCTTTACGATCATCTGTAAAGTTCACAAGCAATTGACAAGGCAATATAGTTGAGCAACAAAAAAGATTAATCTTAACATTAAACCCAACAAATTTCACTTGTTAAAGAGGGGAGGAGGAAAATATCTTACAAGCAAATCCACAATTCCAATCCTGTTGGTGGCTCACAATGGCTTGATCATACAAGTAGTAAGCAGTGTACTGGTTTATACCCACATAATGAATGGAATGCTTTACCATCTTGACCTCTTCTTTTGTGAACTTGGGTAGCCGATCCCCTACAATTTCTTGCATTGTTTTCGGATACTCGCCATAAACAATGGGATGCATAAACCTGTGAAGAATACCAAGAGCGTTTGTTTGAGTTCTTCAAATTCTGAAATAAATATTGAGCCATTCTGCAATTTCTATTTAAGTGTAAACACTTCCAATTGATAAAGGAACTTAATTTAAAAAAAAAAATAGGGATACATAAGGGACATATCATGAAGTCCTTTTTTTTTTTTTTTTTTTCTGGTCAGATCATGAAGTCCTTGAAAAACCACAAATTTTCCAAAACTTAACAAGATAGATTCTATTTTCATTGTTTATGCAATAAGAATCTTCTACCTAATTTCTCAAATTACTTGCTTAATAGCATATGGTTTCCCAATATCAAAATCTACCAAGGTTAGTGGTTATAGAATCTGGAGTTCACAATTGCTAAACATTGAATATAATAGCTTTATGCATCTATCTAAATCGAATTTCAACTTAATGTGGGCACATTACTATGTGTATTGCTTCTTACCGTTCGACATGAAAGTCTCATGCTCTTTGAGCTACGTCATTGTCCGCCTTTGAGCTTGTAAGAGGCTCATACCAAACAAAATCTAAGATAATGCCAGTCCTTCCCTTATATTGTTCCTGGAATTGCATTTTAACACTAATTAACACATTCTCTATTATTACCTAGGTAAATGGAATAAATTAATGAAGCAAAAGATCCCTTCGAGAGAAAGTAAAAATGAAATGCTGATCTTACTTGATACTTTTCTTTATATCTCTCAGTTGTAGCTGCGTGTCATAAGATAACTAGGGATGACCCATGCCTCAAGGAACAATGTAACTTAAACGAACCAATTAATTTAGAGAAGTGAGGAGTGAAATTCCTAGAGAGAGAGAGAGTGAAGAGTGAGCAAAGGGAGGTAAAATTCAATGTGAATGGTTTTGAGATGAATGTCGGTGGCTCTTAGATGAGTCTATTTGAGACCATCGAATAGACTTATTGAAGTCTTTCCTATTTATATTACTAGTTGGTGCACACGTGCGTTGCACGTGCACCATTATAAAAAGACAAGGCTTAAATTTATACATATTTGGTTAATAAATTAACATACAATGTAGAATAATCAAAGAACAAAAAATTCATACATCACTTGTATTGGCTACTTAGATGAGAAAGGACTAAAGGCCAGATCAATAAAGCCAACTACGTTTCTAATGTCATCAAAATATGATTGGTGAATCGGATATATTGAAACATTAAAAAATAAAATAAATATTAAATTTAGGACACATAATTGCCTTGAGATAGAGGTTACCTATTGCAACATTTAGTTTAAAATAGGCTCATGACCTATAAATCATCTTGTAAAATAAACTAAATATATGATAAGCAAAACTCAATGCCCTGATAAGCTTAATAATTTATATTAGCTGAATGCTAAAATAAAACATTTTTTTTTGATCAACAAATGGAACAATGTCAATATACTTTTTAACAAAATATGATCTAATCATAGACTAAGTTTACAATAAAGGAAGCAGTAAATGTAATAAGTATCCATCAACCAAAATAAAGCTTCAGAGGGTTATTTAGCGTTGTACACACAAGAGTGAAAGAAGTATAAAAATAAAAAGCCTAAAGTCTCAAAGATAATATGCGGTAGTAAAAGAGACTAAATTAGGGTTTGAAAGTGCTTAGCACATTATGAATGACAAAGGAACATCGTATGTGACTGCCATTTCTTCTAATCTTGTGTGAATTATGGTTTATTCTAACAAACCAATTGTCAAATGTCCTCAACTGCGATTGTTGCCTTTGGGCCTATTGTAACAAAGAGATAGTATATTACAATTACATAAATTAACATAAAAATGTATCATAACAAAGTATAATCCCCATACCAAAAAAATGAGACGAAAGCATTTGAAGGAACAAGATGTTCATCACTAAACCCGACATGCCTATTTCCAAGCATTTAGGAAGTTATAAAGATCCTCATTTTCACATTAGATGATTTTATTTTATCAAACAAAACAGTACCATTAGAAAAAAAAAACCACAATTGGAAGAGAGGTTTAAAAAGTTGATTTTTGTCAAAACAAAACATTATTTTTAGAAATATTCAAACCCGTATGACCTCTGTGTGTATGTTTATGTATTCATGGTTTGGTGTCAAACAAAATTGTACAATTCAAAAAATAGAAGAAACACAATTAGAGAGCCAAATAAGTTGATAAGTGTTAAGAAAATAATTTTCAGAAAAACAAAAAGTAAGCACTTAAAACACAAAAAATCTTGAAAATCAAGAAATTACATAAATAGTAAAACATAATAAATTATTAAGTTTTACACAAGAACCATCTCATAACAGAGATGAAAGTAAATTGTTGCAAATAAATCAACATTTATCAGTTAAGACAAAATAGAGCTAAATGAAACTCGAGGACCATATATCAATTCTCCAAGCAGAATGAAGGAATAGTAAGGGAAAACAGGATCAAGAGAATGGATAAAAAAAAAAACCTTACCAACATTCTAGATTTTCACAAATAGAAAATTTCTTTTAGAATTACCTAAATTATATGGGTTCATTTCTACCTCTTCACAATATATCAACTCACAAATCAATAGTTGCCTCTATGATTAGAAAAAATCAACCAATCTAGTCCAATTGAATTAATTCTAAATTTGATTTAAAAAAAATACTCCTTTCTTGATCGTAGTTTCATGTTGATTGAACTTTCTCTCAACACAAGGGTTAGTATAAATCCTTGAAAGCTCATTTTAGTGCTAGATTTTTTTTTTGCTAAAGTTGGGTTAGTACTATTCTACCCTCTATTAGTCCTATGTTAGTACTATTCTACCCTCTATGAGTCCTATGTTATTACTCAGTCAAATTAAAATCTGAATATACCTTATATATTTTTAGCATGTTTTAACACAACTAACACCTTTATTTACCTCTAAATTTTAAAAGAAAAAAGTGATTTCAATAAAAGTGCCTCGTCAAAATCTAAGGTATTAAGACAACAACACCACCAGGACGACAACATATGTTGTCTTATAATAATAAAGCAATAACCTAAAATAATATGAAAAAACAAAAGTACTACTAAGTCATTCTAAGAGATGGCATGGACCTAAAGCAAATGACTCTCTTATCAACCAAGAGATAAGCATGCTTGGGCAAGATGGAGCAATGATATTAAGCATTAGAATGTACAATGATAATGTGATATTTTAGTGTGTTGGTTATACAACTTGAGATGATTTATTAAAATTCTTTCTTGATGATGAGAACATGCAAATGAGTTTTTTCAATTTTTTAATTTTCATTTGGAAAAAGACATTTTCTGATTTCAATAGATGACCTTTTAGACAATCCAATTTACTGTTTAGGTCGTATACATTATGTACTTTCAAGTTGCACATTATGATGGAAGTAAAATAAGAAAAATTAATTTTATTTTTCAGGAAACATTCAAACAGTACAAATCCAATTAACCAGGCGTGTCACATGTAGTGGAAGGAACAAGTTTCAGAATATATAACATGAAAAGCTACTTATTTACGAAAAAATCTATAACAAAAGTTTCAAGAATGTCAATTGAGATCAAACTCCAACCGTATATCAAATACAATCATGCGTTCTTGCTATCAATGCAAGGTAATCAGATATAAGGTTTGGAGAGTTCATTTTGTTAGTACCTCAATCAGCAGCTATTTCTTGGAGTTTACGACTTCATCATGTTAGTTCAATTTATGCTAGAGTTATTCCAACTTTGTGGTTCTACACTTGATCATAGAGGTTACATCTCCAACAAATAAGAATTAAAGGTTTGGGAAATCCCCCCTCCCTTTTTTTTAAGAAAGAAGAAATTGTATTGAATGAATCAAAGAATTACAAGAAACAAATTTACACCACCACTAAATGGCTTTAATCCTTCAAAACATGACATGTCAAGAACTTCTCCTTCAATAGCACATCAGCCAACGGATCAACAACCAGAAGCAAGGTTCTAGCAAAATCAGCATACAGCCGCAAGCTAGGAACCCATCATTATCATCCATAGTCACAAAAGGTTTGAGAAATCCCTAAGTGACCACATTTTAGATATACCCATTTAGACCCTATGCCCCCTTGCATCAATAGGAACAAAATATGTCCTATTTTGGTTCAAGGAGAACAAGAAAAAGATATCATCGTATTCAATGAGAAGTCACAAGGTCTTCACCATAAAAATAGTAAACTGAATTAGATAATTATACATAATAAACAAGTGGTATACTTACAGAATCAACAAACAACATATATCAAGTCTATATATCAAAAAGAGTAGAAAGAAATAAATTAAACAACTGGTTTGGGCATACATATCTCTGTCACTTGCTTTGAAATGCTTTAGTTCATCCACAATCGTAGGAGAAAAAGGCTTTAGATTAGTTGCTTCAAAAGCATTTTCTTATTCGGTGCTCCCAATAGAAATGCTCTGAACTCTCCTTGACTCGCCTAACCATGTGTATGTTTTCTCACCAATTACAGTGTACACATAATTCCAAAAAGGCAGGCATGGATCCAACTTTTGGTAATCTTAAAAAGCAACTCCAATACTCTTAACTACATAACCATCTGAAAATAACTAAAGGAAAATATTAGTCTAGATTTAAAAAATGGTTCAGAATGCAGACATCATCTGATACATGCTATCACCTCAAATGCTAGTAAATTTGAAACACAATTGTGGGATACAAGTAGTCATTCATTTACGAAGATATCACTCCAAATTTCCAGCCTTCAAGCATCATCTGCAAGAATACACTTTCCATGTTTGAAGGCAATATGATATTAAAACCACCACATCCACAAAATTACAATCTCATGTAATTAGAATCTTCCATTGGAAGCCACAAAATAACAGCCTTATATAATGATTTTTGGTTAAATATGAATTAAACATCTACTTGTGATGGGTCGAACTAAAAAACAGAGTGCTTGGATTTGTTTCGTATAACATAACTGAACCAA